TGCATTGTATGTAGGTGTATGTGTGGTCGTGTGAATGTGTGCACAGGTGTGTGCACTGTAGTGGATATATGTGTGGGTGGGTGAATGTGTGCATCGTATGTAGGTATTTGTATGAATGTGTGCATGTGTGTGTCATCATGCATGTAGAAGGTAGAGGCTGATGTCCCGTCTTCCTTGGTTGCTTTCTACCTTGTTTTGAGACAGGCTCCCAGGATCCAGAGCCCATATTCAGCAAGGGTGCTGTCCAGTGAGCTCCAGGGATGTGAGGATGTGTTTCCCTCCCTCTCTAGGGCAGATCTGCAATACTTATGAGTACAGGTTCTCTCCGACCCCTAGCACCAGGGTTACAGGAGTGTGCTGCTGTGCCCTGCTATTACCAGGCACTGGGATCTGAATGCAGGCCCCTGCACATGCGTCTTAGACACTTTATCAACATCTGCCCAGCTCTCAGCAACACTCTCAGAGCAGAATTTCCAGGATTCATTTGCACTTTGGGAAAATGAATTACAAAACATTTTTGTGATAATTAGTAGAATATTCTCTTCCTGTGAATCTGAATTTTTAGATTAATCCCAGATAATTTCACATGCTAATTTCCTGAATTTTATAATCATTTTTAACTGGCTGCCTGCCTTGTCTCCCACTGAAAAAGTTAACTTATTTTACAGAACCATGTTTAATTTGAGTGATTATAGAGAGAATTTTAATTTTAGAGTTTACTATTAAAGAACAAGAAATGAACTTTTCATGTCCTTGGTATAGTTTCGGTTTATATAATGTAGGTCTTATACATTTTTGGATGATTTTATGCATGGAACACATATTTATTTTATGAATACAATTTCACAACTTGTTAGATATAATCTGATTAACATACACAAGTACGTAGAGAGAAATGCGTCCCCCACAATTCTGTAAGTTGAAGTCCTAACCCCCGCTGAGGCTGTGTGTGCAGATGGCGCCTCAGAGTGATCATTAGAGTAAGCAAGGTCACAGGCATGTGAAAGTCACGGGCGAGGTAGGGTCAAAGGTGTGGTAAGGTCACAGGTGTGGGCCTCCAGATAAAAAAAAAACTGGTATTTTACAAGAGGAACAACATACACCAGGCAGGGAGCTGATTGATACAGAGAAAGGACACAGCCAAGATTGTAGTTTGTTCACAAGCCAGAGAGACGGAGTCAGAACCCAGTGGTGGTGGTGCACTGGCCTTCGGAACTAAGAGAAAATAACCTTGTTGTGTAAGCCGCTCCAAAGACACAAACAGGCTCCAACTCCAGCGCCTGTCCTGTGAAAGGCTTGGGTAGGGAAGACACAAGGAAAATGGTGGGACCTGCCATGTGGTCACTCAGATGAGCCACTTGGGTTTGTTTGTTTGTTTGTTTGTTTGTTTGTTTTTTGTTTTTCGAGACAGGGTTTCTCTGTGTAGTTTTGAGCCTTTCCTGGATCTCGCTCTGTAGACCAGGCTGGCCTTGAACTCACAGAGATCTACCTGCCTCTGACTCCCGAGTGCTAGGATTAAAGGTGTGCGCCACCACCACCCGGCTGAGTTTTTTAAAATGAATTCTGTCTTGTGAGAGTTATTTTATAGTACAGACATGGGAATCTTTGCTGTATTGTTGTTTTATAAAAACAAAACAAAGAACTCCCAAGTAGATGGCTGGTTTAATCTGTCATGGTGTATCCATACAACAGAATATTAGAAAGAATGAGGCAAATTTGTATGCACTCATATAGAAAGTGGGAAGGAACAATTGTTAAATGAAAATAAGATTTCTGACAATATGGTAAGATGTATATTAAAAAATGACATGGGCCTTTCTCATGCTACCCAGGTATCAGCTCTGTTGACCTTGGACCTGCCCACTCTTGGAAAGAAGGGTTGCTGTCATAGCATGATAGTAGGGTAGATAGGAATACAAGTGCTGTGGGATGTTCTGTAGGTCCTGTGGGAGCCCATTCTCAGGTTCTTTGTGGCTTTACCCAGCAGGTCCGTATAAAGGATGATTAGGACCATGGGCCTGAGTGCAGGTGTTTGAGATGGTCTGCACTTGGCTGTGCTGGGGGATGGTCTGTATGCTCTGATTGGTTAATAAATAAAACCTGATCGGCCGTGGCTAGGCAGGATAAAAGGACAGAAAGGCAGAAGGAGACGCAGCAGCCGCCGCAATGACCAGAGAGGCTGCAGCCGCTGCCATGACAAGTTTTACTAATAACGACCTGTGGTAGTCTGAATGAAATGTCCCCCACAATCTTGGACATTTAGACACTTGGTCACCAGCTGGTGGTTCTATGTGGGAAGACTTAGGAGGTGTGGCCTTGCTGGAGGATGGATGTCACTGGAGGCAACTTTTAGAGTTTAAAGACTGCCATTTTTAGTTTGTTCTGCTTTCTGCTTGAGGTTTGAGATGGGAGCCCTCAAGCTTCCTGCTCTAGCCACCACGCCTGCTGCCGGTTGACATGATCCCCTCCATGACTGACTCTTAGCCCCTGGGACCAGAAGCCCAAATAAACCCTTCTGTAAGTTGTCTTGGTCATGATGTTTTTTCACAGCAGTGGAAAAGATGCACATGACAAGATTAAACAGGAACTTCACATCAATAAATAGTTACACATTTAAAGTAACTTTCCAATGAAAATATATCCTAAAATCAATATAGTAAAGTCTTCTGACATAAACATTTGTTATTATAGTTCATTATAGTGAAGGGCAAAAATAATATGCTTTTTTCTCTTTTTTTAAGAGAAAAGAAATTTTAGGTGACAATTTTTAAATGGGAGGCGAAGCTCTAAAAGAGACTTTGAACATCCCTAGTCAGTTTTAAAATATTGTAGTGAAAATATAATTCCATTGCTATGACTTACAAGAGTCCTGAAACCTTTCAAAGAGCCTGTGGTATAACTACTAATATGATGACAGTATAAAAGAATGTCTCAGATAAACCCTCTAGAGAATAGTGTGTGTTGAGACAGTCAATGTTTATAGAATTTTTATGTACTAAGAAAAACAGAAGCCACAGCTTCTTGGTATCCACACACATCTGTAAGTAACAGTGAAATAACCCGTGTGTCTGAGTGGCATTTAAGTACATAGACGGGGGTTGACAAGAGTCTAAGTCAGCAGTTTTGACTCGCTGCTTCTCGCCTTTCCTCATTCCTTCCCTCTCTCTCCTTTCAACTGAGAAATGATTCAGAGTTTGCTGGGTCAGACACCACTGGGATGTAATAAAGTAACACTGCCTTCCTCCACCCCCAGCCACTGCCGCTGCTTTCCCTCGGGGTGAAGACAGAACTCTGGCGAAGTGCAGTACCCCAGGCTACTCCTGCAGGTACAGTTCTCACCTCGGGGACATCCTCAGCTAACGGAGAACCATCACAGTCTGTGTCTGCTCCTCCTTCTTCTGGTGTCTCCCCGTTTGTCCTCCGCGTACCTGGGAGAGAAGCACATAGGTCAAGAGAACTAAGAAACGCACTGAGGCAGTGAAAAGTTTTCATTTACTCACTAAAGGCGGTGTAAATAGACCACACGAGCGCGCTGACTGGGAAAGCGGAGAGTAAGTGGTAGGACACACAGTATAGAATAGTGGTTAAATTTACCTGTGAAATGGGCACGCTTTAACACTGGCTTATTGTCAACTGCAGGAGATGTTTAGACTAATATATTTATAAATAAAAGCTATGATACGTACTTTTGATGATACTCTTCCTTTTTAGACAAGAGTCTCATTAAGTCCAGGCTGGCCTTGAACTTGCTATGTGGCTGAAGATGACAGGGAACTTCTAATCTCCCTGCCTCCATATCCCAAGTGCTGGGACTATAGGTGTGTATCACCATGCATGGTTTATATGGTGCTGGGCATTGAATGTAGGGCTTCATGCATACTAGGCAAGCACTCTACCCACAGCTACATGTACGCCTCCAATAATGCATTCTAAGTCTCATTAGTGAGGGAACTCACCCACAAACCAACAAGGAAAAGACAATACATTTTATTCTATTTCTGAAAATACTGTCTAGAAATTGCGGAAGTATTGCTAATATCATTCAGTTTTACTCAACAACTTTCCCCCACACATGTGCTTGAATTCCTGGGCACACTGATTTATTCATCTGGTTCACTGACCTGGAAAATAGGCCCCTTTGGTGGCATTAGTCTGGTTTAAGAGATTCTGGGCTTCTTCATCCACAACATCTAGCAAGGATTGGATAACTTCAGCTTCTTGAGGATCATCATAGATGTCATCATCCTGGGAATCAGATTCTTGAAAAACAGGAGTTTATTTTAAAAGTACTGAGAAAGGGACAGTCTCAGTCCTAAATACCAGTATCTCCTTGGAAGGACAGACATGGTGACCTAGTCCTTTTCCTCTACAAGTATGCTGACTGTTGTGATGAGGAACCACACAAATGCAGCTTAGGGGCAAAAAACAAAGGCAGATATTGGAAATATATACCTTTTCATGAAAAATTAACAATCTGATGCTCATTTCATAAAATTAATGTCAAATCATTCATTAATGAAAAAAATAAAGTTGTTATCTTCTCAAGATTAAGGATACAGCAGGCCCAATAAAATACTCTCAATATAAAATTTATAAGGCATTGGTAGTCTATGAAGGCTGCTCACAGCATGCAGGAAACATCAATCGCAGTAACTGTCTTTTCAACCTCCCAAGTCATTTTAGAGCCAAGAGCGAATACCGGACATCTGCACATTATACAACCAACAATGCCAGTTTTATAGTCTCTTATTCTTTCATTTCTCCCAACAACCTTCCCTTTCAAAGCTGTGTTAGCATGGGAGGTGACAGGAGGGATTACTGAACTTTTAGATCATTTACAGTAACTGGATGGCTTATTTGAAAACTACCTTTGGTTTCGGTCCGGTCCGTTAAGTCCCTCATCTGAGAAGATGAGCATTTTCCTCTAGGGCACACAGCTTCAGCTACTTCTTCCCCATTAACCTGAAGGACAAGAGCACAGCAGACCACCAGATTACTATTTTCTTAACTTCTGGGACTGGAGAAGACCTGACCATGGCTCCTCCCCTCTTCCTGCCGAGTACAAACTCTTATTAGATCTTTGCACTTTGCATCTGTGTTACTAGAAAGTATCTGTGGATTGAAGTGTGCAAAGTGGATGGGGTTCCCATCATCGAACACAGCTGAAATTGTGTTATTTCTTAAATGTATTAGACTACACAAAGCTCTTATTTGAGGCATATTTTGAGGTTTGTCCTCTAAAGAACATTTTAGAAAAGTTTAATAGGATTACAAAGTCCTAAAAGTTAAGAAAAAGGAATACAATTACTTTGGTTCTCCCTTCTTCCTCCCTCCCTCCCTCCTTCTTAGACAGGGTCTTGCTATGCAGCACAGGGAGGCTCCAGCTCTTAATGCTGGAGTTCTATGTACGCAGCACTGCTCTTAGACAAAAGACAATCCACTTTTTAATTACTCATCAGCGCATCACATGGATGCATGCTCCAATTTGGTGGCTTGACATTGGTTAGGTGTAAAGACTCTGCAGTACAGTTTAGCGCTCTTGTGAATTTAAGGACAGAACAATGGACTGTAACTATGGAGTCACTATACATCACTGAACTGCAGGCAACACTCTTGTGCAGCTGAAGGACTACAGCACAGCGTGGAAGGACAATGAGGCGCCATGGGTTCAGTGCTAGAGCATTTGCACAGCTGGGCTCAATCCCCAGCACAGCTGGGCTAGAGACACTGTTTCTGGGTTAGGGATGGGGCAGGTGCTCACTTCTCCTCTCATGCTGGGACCATGTCTGGTGCAGACCAGGGCAGGCCCTGTGCATGCTGCCACAGTCTCTGAGTTTATGTGTGTCGATCTCACCTAGGACTAAATGGTCTAAGGTCTCTCATTCTCTGCACATTGTCCAGCTGTGGGTCTCTGTGTTGGTTCCCATCTACTGCAGGAGGAAGCTTCTCTGATGATGGCTGAGGAAAAACTGACCTATGAGTATTTTATAATGTTGTCAGGAGTCACTTTATGGTCATGTTCCTTTAGCAGAAAAATGATCTTTGTTTTTTCCCTAAGTCCCTGGCCTATCCGGTCTCCAGTTATATGTCCAATTGATAACTACTCACAAACAAAAAATTGGTTCACTCCAACAGTCTCACAGGGGATACAAAGCACTCTTAAGGGTAGGTCCAATGCCCAGCAGTAGATGGCCAACACAAAATCAAGTCGATGGCATCTGTGGAGGTTCTTTGTCTCAAAGGTTTACTACAGGGCTTTTAAAGATTTTATTGTATTTTTTTATTTTATCTCACAGGTCATTTTTGTATACATTATGGCTTCTAGTGTTGTGTTTTTAAAGGATTCCAGTGTATGTGGATATGTATCTCTGCGTCTACATGTGTATTTTGTGCTTTTTCTTTTTGGTTTTTCGAGACAGGGTCTCTCTGTGTAGCTTTGGTGCCTGTCCTGGATCTCACTCTGTAGACCAGGCTGGCCTCGAACTCACAGAGATCCATCTGCTCTGCTTCCTGAGTGCTGGGATTAAAGGCATGCGCCACCACCGCCTGGCAATTTCATGCTTTTTCTTTGGCTCGTTCTTCTGTTTGATTGTTTTGTCCTATTCTGGCTTGTTCTGTTTTTGCTTTATCATATTTCATTACTATTCTTTAGATGCCTGTTTGTTTTCCACTGAGAGACAGAAAGGATTGGATTCTGATAGGAGAGAAGGTGGCGTTGATCTCAGAGGAGTTGGGGGAGGGGAACCATGGTAAAAATATGTTTTATGGAAAATAATCTCTGTTCAATTAAAGAAAAAAATTAAAAAAGACAGGAAAAAACGTAGATATGGATAAACTGATAAAATTAACTGACTAAATCACAGTGTGTACTGTGGCTCACTCTGGAGCCCTAACTCTTCTTATGAAGCTGTTAGATATGACAGAACTACATCTCATAAGCTGGTCATGTAGCACCCACAGCATCAATGGCTGTGAAATCCCATTTTCCATGAGAAATCAAGGTCTGGACATTAGTGTTCAAGCAAGAATGTTGTCAAGGAGACTTCCTGAAGATCTGAATTCTGACAGAAATGTTGGCACCCACAATAATAAAGACCCTATGTTTCCAGGGTTTGAAGTTAATTCAGTAGAAACGCCACACTTCTTTGTCAACACGCTGACACTTAAGAAGGAAGCAAACCCTCCCCAGCACGAGGAACATTGGAAAGCCGTGAAAATTCGGTGGCTTCCGCTTTGTGAGGCTGAAGATCTGGACCACCAGGAAAGCAGCTCAGCTACAGCACAATGCAAACAACACACACAAAACGCCACTTTTGTGCTACAGTCATTTCTGCCTTAACACAGCTCCCACTGCTGCGTGCTCCAGGACTCACTACGTAAAATGTGTGCCATGACATGATGTGGTGTCAGAAAGGTGCAGATGGGCTTCTGTTCACTATACAAAATTTCTTCTTGAAAACCCAGCTCATGTCCAGAATTATGTTGAGATGGTATGATTTCTTCTTTTTTTTGGATAACTAAAGGAAAGTCTTTTAAATGGGTAGACATGCCTTTTATACTACTCAAGCAGACATCTGACTAGTAAAGGTGTGACTCGACTCATGGGGTGAGTGTAGTTTAAAACAGTCCAATAGAATAAAAATCCAGCTGTGCTGCTTTCAGAAAAATCACATAACATGGACAGAAGAAAACAAAGAATAAACACTACCCAAACTGAGGGGTACACAAGTACACTTAGAGAGGGCATGAAGTGGAACTCACACAGCATCTAAAGCTTTGCCAAATGACAGTTCTGTGCCAATCCTAAGTGGTTTAAGATCTCATTTTATTATCTGGAAAACACTACTTAAGTCTTTCAAAACAAGCAAGTCTGTTTCTTTGGCTAATACTGTTGCTCCTTACCAGGGCCATAGGTTTAGCCTTCTCAGGCTACTGGTGGCTAATATTAATCTCAGAGAGCGACTCTGCTGTTGTTAATTACACACTTCTCTTCCTACAGTCCAAGAGACAAGTGAAGGGACTGTGTACATTAACCAAACATCCTGATGCTAATATTACCTAGTCAAGCCATTAGCCATGAGAGCCAATGTACCAAAGGGCGCAGGCTTGAAGGCTCTGCATTTTGAGTTTACTTAGCAAGGCCTTAGTTCATCACAATAGACTCCCACTGTGAGCACATGTGTCTTAACAACATTTAATTACAACATCAATTTGGCATGAAGCATAAGCACATTGGTTATTAAAAGTAAGTAAGACATGAAAGGAGTTTGTTTTTCTTGCCTTGGAGAAGGAATTCTTAGGTGTGAGAGCAGGACGGCCACAAGGCTGCGTACTGGTATGGCCTGAAAGGAACAGCACAGAGTGGTATGTCAGACAACTGAAATTACAAGAGCGACATGGAAATTACCCAAGATACATAACTCCGAGGATACAAGTCAACTAAAAATTCTGATACAGGGCCAGTGAGATGGATCCAGAGGGTGAGTGCTTGTCACCGAGACTGGAACCACCTGGGCTGATGAGATCCAACACCTGCAGGCTGTCCTTTGATCCCCATTTACGCACAATGGCATCAGTGTGTGTGTGTGTGTGTGTGTGTGCGCGCGCGCACTACGCAAATAAACAAATGCGAATAAGTTCAGATAATTCTGATCCATATGAAATAAAGAAACCCCGTATTTCTAAGGATGTTATTTTTAATTACACACGAAAAAGGTCAGAATACAAATGCTACAAGCCAAGTAAGTAGAATAAAATATAAAATGGTTTTACTTAAAAACAAACAAACAAAAAAACCACGTCCAAATTCTTTTTTGAGACAGGGTCTCCCATGGCACAGACTGGCCTCCAACTTGGTATATACTCAGAATGCCCCTGAGCGCTTCATCCTCCTGCCTCATCTCTCAAGTGCTGGGATTACAGGTGTGCACCACCACACCACAGGGAAGAGAACCAAATCCCTCTTCTTGTGATATAGGACTCTCAGCTACTGTTCCAGCACCACATCTGCCTACATGCTACCATGTCCCACCATGATGATAATGGACTGAACCTCTGAACTATAACTGAGCCACCCCAATTAAATATTTTTCCTTTATAGGAGTTGCCATGGTCATGGTGTCTCTTCACAGCAATAGAAACCCTGACTAAGACAGTGGGCTTGGGCAAAGTTAGCAAGCTTCTCAGTGCCTCAGTTTCTTTCACTTTGCATTGCTATGAAGCAATACAACAGTACTTTTAGAATGATCTGTTTATAATGAGGATTAAAGTACTTACAGGCAGGCTTCATCTAAATGAGCTTTACAGACAACGGCCACTACAGCTCTTCCACTGCTTCTGTCATTATGTTACCAGGTGAGGTAGATACTTGTGTGCACACCGATGAACCCACAGTGTGCAGGTGGGTCCCTAGCCCAGGAGACATTCTGTTGATGTCTGTATAAATTACACACCTCATTAGAACCTCACTAGGTTGACACTAGTAATAGTTTACTGATGGGAAATGGAGGCTTAGATAAGCATCAGGGGACTTTCTGAGGACACACCGACTTTTCAGATCCACTGGATATACACTTCTGCTCTGATATTTTTCTAATATATATTGAGTTTCAGAACTGTTATCACTGAAATAGAGTATTTTCACTTAGATCCTGTAAAACATTCTAGAAAGTTAAGAAAAAAGTTTAGTGATAGTATCCAACTTGCTATCCAGAAGAAAGTCACCTCTCCATAAGCCCTGTTAAAGTAAATGTGTCTGTCATACCGTTGGCTTTGGTGAGCTTGGGTGCTGGAATGGCAGGTCTTGTTGAACTAGGCACCACCGGACAACCATCTCTGTAGAACACACAAAGAAAGAACAGTTACAAAGGTTTCAGAAGCTTTACTTTAGGGCTGAGTCTAGGCACGCTGCCAAGTGTGGACAGGATCTAATGAAATTCTTCATGTGTGTCTGTAACTCAGTGCTCCCACGGTAAGATGAAAGATAGACTCAGGATAATCCAATGATCTTGGAAACTTGCAGGCCAGCCTGATGTATGCATCAGTGAACAAGAACCTCTCTCCAACGAAGTGAAGAGTGAGATCTACACTATGTGTCTTAGTCAGGGTTTCTACTGCTGTGAAGAGACACCATGACCATGACGACTCTTAGAAAGGAAAACATTTAATTGGGTGGCTTACAGTTTCAGAGGTTTAGTCCCTTATCATCATGGTGGGACATGGCAGCATGCAGGCAGACATGGTGCTGGAGAGGTAGCTGAGAGTTCTACATCTTGCAGGCAACAGGAAATGGTCTGTCACACTGGTCATGGCTTGAGCATATATGAGACCTCAAAGTCTGTCTCTACAGTGACACACTTCCTCCAACAAGACCACACCTCCTAATAGAGCCACCCCCTTTGGGGGCCATTTTCCTCCAAACCATCACACTATGTGAGGTGTGTACCCACTTCTCCCCCACCCTCTCCTCACAAAGGTTAAAAAAAAGAAAAGAAAATGAAGGATGGCTTTTTTCTTTTCTGTTCTCCATTTCCTTAAGACTTAGTCCGGGCTGGCCTCAAGTTTGTTCTGCAAGGGTATACGAACCACCAATCTTCTTGCTTCTGGTTCCCAAGTGCAGGGGTTATAGGTACGGACCACCATGCTCAGCAAGTACCACTGTCCTTATTACTGTTGTTATTGACAGAGCTGGAGACTGAACTGCATCTCCACTGAGAATTAACTCCTCCACATAATCTTTCTTCAGGTTTGAGTTCAGCACTTCATCCTAGTGCTCATCCCACTTGGGAACATGGTAACTGAGCTGACTGCACAACTTAACTCTGTGGACAGGTCAAAGGAAGTTTACCAAATTTTTATATACAGACCCCTTGGTATGAATATGCTTTTCTTTTAGATTAGGGTAAAAAAAAGAACCCCAAAAACCTTTGTTCTAAGAATCACCCAAGTCGGGCGGTGGTGGTGCACGCCTTTAATCCCAGCACTCTGGAGGCAGAGGCAGGTGGATCTCTGTGAGTTCGAGGCCAGCCTGGTCTCCAAAGTGAGTTCCAGGAAAGGCGCAAAGCTACACAGAGAAACCCTGTCTCGAAACAAACAAACAAACAAAAAAGAATCACCCAATGAACAGTACTACCCACGGTCAAGAGCAGCCACAAGTGAGCAAGCACACTGGGAATAGGGTTAGCAGACCAGCGTGCTAACACTCAAGGATACCTAAGGAGCACTATGATAGCAGATGCATGATACCACACACTCTCAGCACACCTGTATGCTCCTGCTGGGCTGCTTAAGATTGCAAGGTCTTTACACCTTGGACATAGGTTATTTCTCAAGGTTCTGTTTGCAAGGAGCAGCCCTTTCAGCAAACCAGCCCAACCAAACCCTCTACATAGGCTGCTATGAAGTGCGGGGTTCCTCAGCTTCCTGAGGTCACTTTGGTAATAACCCTCACTGCGATAGAACCTCTGCTGTGGTCTCCATCAGACCCACACACACTTTTCTAGGGCCTCTGGACAAACGTGGAATCCACACCACGCTCATGCTCCTTGCTGTGCTGTTAGCAATAAAAGTCCTTTTATTTCTCAAGGCACATCTGCTGGAATCCATGAAATAACAATAGCCAGGGTCACCAGCTTGCAATTAACTAGGGTAAATTCTACCCCCATTATAGCTCCTGACATATACAGTCACCACAAATGTCCACCCATCCATCATTGCTTCTACTACTTGTCATGGACTATGACGGTGACAGTGCAGAGCTGAAGGAGAACATGGAGGGCATTACTACGACGTCCGTTGAGACAGCAGCTAAGACAGAGGTAGAAAGGGAACAGAACGTCACTCCAGGACAGACTGACGAGTGCTCCCTGATTCTGAGGTAAAACATCCACCTATACCTAAGCTTGACAGTGATGTGAATTCCCACAAAATATTTTCTCTTTCCCATTTATTCCCCTTCACCGAGGAAAACAACTGTGTATCAATCTAAAGTTTAGACACACAGAGAATCAGGTCAGGGAGAAGGGGAAAAGTACATAATCTACAAAGAACAAGCAAGTTTATCAACGGTTTTAGTATTACACTTGTACTTTGGAAAATATTATTCATAGACACAACTGTCTATTCCCCTTCACATAGCTTGGCTTAGTCTACAACCTAGAAAGCCTGGGTTCACGGGCGCTGTGGGAGGTGAATGAAGCCTCCCAAAGATATCTGTACTCTTATGATTATGCCATAGTTTAGAGAATCTGTGAGATACCACTTCACAGAGCAAAAGAAATGGGACTTCAACATGGATTATTAGGACCCTGTTGTCACTGCTGGAGCCCTAACAAGTCAAAGATGAGGCAGGAGAATCCAAGTCAGAGGAAGAGACCGGGCAACAGAAGCAGGGAGCATGGAGGTGCTGCCTTTGACCATGGAGGGGCAAGGAGCCGAGGAAAGTGGTAATGGCAAGGAAACTGGATTCTTATGACCCGCAGAAGGAATATAATCCAGTGGACGCCTTGACTTTATCCCAGTGAGATCCATTTCTATTTCTGACCTCAAAAACTTCAGACGATAATCTTGGGTTGTTTACAGTAATTTGTTTATAGTAATTTGCTAGAGAAGCCATAGGAAATCAATACCTATGTTTTCTTAACACTTTTCCTCTACAAGTGAGGGAAGGTTTGCATTTAATGCTGTGAGCATGGCTCCTCTGTGCCTCAACAGCTGATGCCACTCTACTTGTGGGAATGAGGCCTAACTGCCAAAGCCACCTGGTTTATTTCTGTCTGCAGTTCAGAGACTGGTCCCCTCGAAGGCTAGGCACACATTGGCTGTCAGTGGTGGCTTCAGAGATTCATGTTTGAAGATGGCTTTAGACAGTGTGGTGTGCAGGTTTGAGACACTAACGGACACACTCATCTGAGTGTTTTCACCATAGAGAAAACTGATACAAACGGGATAATGACAAACAGCAAAAACAAACCTGATGACTACCTTATTATTACTTTGGAAATTATGCAAAACAATAAATTCCTTCTCTTGGCCAAACAGAATTGGGCTGTATTCTGTTACTCGCAACTGAAGACTTGCAATATGAAGACATATGTGTTAACTGGAATCATGCTGCAACACTTCGCTGTTTGGTTACATGGGCTCTATCAGAACTCTGGTCTAACATTACTCTTTTGATGGCTGTGAATGTCCAGTACCTTGTTGCTTTCAGCACCACTGAAGGAAGTGACAGGTCCAATGCTCTGTTTGCTTCTTCCAAGGTCATTCCTTGTGTGCTGACTCCGTTCACATAATGGATGATATCCAGGAGCTGCAGGTTACCTTCCACAGCTGCAGCCGACTGTGGGTTAATGTCACTAATATACACCACTTCATGTGGACTGCCATGACCTCCAGACAGAGAAAATCCTTCACAGAGCAGAAAACAATTGTTTCTCAGTCACGGGAGTCTTACTTGTAATTATGCCAGGAAAGTCATACTGAACAAAGCTTGTGCTTTTCTTACCTAACTCCTCGTCACGGCATGTTACTGTAATGTCAGGCAGCAAATGGGGAAACACTGGCATCCTGGGTAACTCTAGAATCCGCCCAAGAACTAATCTGACCGTCTTTGGTGAAGCTCGCAGCAGATTCACTGCATCCGTGTGGGTCATATTTGTGACATCTGTATCATTAACCTACAAAATGAGAGGCAAACTAGGATTGATTTTCAGAACAGGAAATCTAATTATAACCTGTATTAGCCAGTAAGAGATTTATGGTGATGTAGTCTCTAATTTATTAGAATCCTGTTCCCTGCAGAAATCATAGGGACAATGATCAAGCCATTATAAACAACATCAAGTCGCTAACAAATGTACACAGACCTTACTGCTTTGCTAATATAGAAGTTTTATCTTTCAGAACTTAGGAGACTTGCTGTCTCATGCACTTGAGAGACCCTGGAGAGATTAAAAGGATGTGTAGTTGGAGTAATTCCCAAATTGCTTCTTATAAAGACTGTAGTGGAGAATGATCTTCTGATCCTCCTGTCTCCACATCCCAAGTGCTGGGATTACAGGTTTGTGCCACTGAGTTAGGTTTATGTAGTACTGGGGCTTGAACCCAGGGCTTCATACAAGCTACACATATGCTACCAATTTGGCTACATTTTCTTCCCCCTCTTTTTGGAGACAGGGTCTTATGTTGAACTCATTATGTAGTCAAGAAAAACTTTGATTCCTGGTCCTAATGCTTCTACCTCCCAAGTGCTGGGGTTACAGGCATGTGGCCCTCTGCCTTGCTGAAGCCTTCATTTTTAAAGTGGTGGGGAATGACAATATAAACCAGAGAAGCAGTGTCATATTAACTCAACTTCCTTCCTTCTCCAATGTTGACTCGCTTTTGGTCACTGACTGACTCATGTGTTAGAAGGTAGGACTTCAGTGGTAGGACCTTTAGGTGGTGAAGACTAGTCGGGGGTATATCTGTAGAAGGAGTAGGGGGATCCCAGACTCTGGCATGCTTTTGAGATATGAGCTCTTCCTCTTATACAGGTATTGTGGTAGTTCAAATGTAACTGGCCCCCATAAGCTTATGGGGAGTGCCACTATTCGGAGATGTGGCCTTTTTGGAGGAAGTATGTCACTGTGGGGCAGACTTTGAAGACTATGTTTAAGCTGTGCCTAGTTCCAGTTCACTTCCTGTTGCCTGTGGATCAAGATGTAGAACTCTCAGCTCCTTTCTCCAGCACCACCTCTGCCTGCATGCTGCCATGTCCCTCCATGATGATAATGGACTGAACTTCTCAACTGTAAACCACTCAATTAAATATTTTCCTTTGTAAGAGTTGTCATGGTCATGGTGTCTCTTCACAGCAATAAAAACCCTAAGACAGGCATGATGCTTTCACTGGAGCTGAGTTGCTGGTGTCATGTCCTTAAAGCTCCCACACTGAGCTAACTAAACTTCTTTTCTTTTTAAAGTAGGCTTGTGTAAGGAATTTCACAACAGTAACAAAAAAATAGATTAAGACATTTGTACAAATATCCCTATTCCCCTTAAATGTCTCATTTAAAAAAGTATTTTATGCATATGAGTGTTTTGCTTGGATCCATGTCTATACCATTTGTGAGCCTGAGGCCTGCAGAGGCCAGAAGAGGGCACCGAGTTCCCTGGAACTGGAGTTATAGAAAGTTGTAAACCAACATGCTGTGTTGGGAATCGAACCCAGGTCCCCTAGAAGAGCAGCCTGTGCTCTTAAACCACCGAGCTGTCCCTCCAGCCCCCCAAATGCCTCACCTTTACTAGGCGGTCTCCCGGCTTCAGCCTTCCATCAGCTTTGGCTGGATCCTGTACGACGTCATGGACATAACAGCCAATGCTCTGACTGCCTTTGGTTACTGTAAACCCCAGACTTCCTTGTTCCGATTTAATTAGGGTAATGGGAAGCTCTACTTCCTAGAGAAAGAACAGATCAATTTAAGGTTGTCTATGTTGTCTACAGACAAACAAACATGAATGTAGTTGCCCTTGGTTAAGAGAGGACAAACCCAAATCTTAGGTTAACTTGACCATGAGAAATCTTCTCAATTCTTGGTAGAATGTTCCTTTCTTTCCAAGCATGTAACGTTTGAAGCATGTAGTTATGTGTTTGTCTCCAGACTCTTTCCCTCCCTCCTTCCTGATGCTCTTCATCCTTATTGTTTTCTATCTGGAAGAGCTAGGATTGGGTCCAGAGCCTCCGACATGCCAGGCAAGGCGTTCCCACCGAGCTGTACCTCAGCCCCTGCCTCGGTTCTTGCATCTACATTACTATAAACAAGGAGGTGGAGCGAGGGCACTCTGAAGACCAGCACTAGGTTTTAGAGGGAAAGGTTTAGAAAAATCCTCTACATTTTTAACCAACCAAGACAGAAGGCAGGAGACACAAAAGAAGCTTTGTTTGCTGTTGTTTTTGTAAAACTATGAAGTATCTGGATGAGTGTGGGTTACAGCTTCATTTAATTAAGATGTGCAACAAACTCAAAAGATTTCAGCTGGGAGTGGAGGATGCTTATATGGCCAACAACAGACTTTATTGCCAAGAGTGAAACTGAAATGTTGATGTACACCCACCCGTCTGCTCTGTGACACACACAGAGATACACATACATAGACACATAAGACACAGACACACACCCTACCACACAATTACAGGAAAATGAAAATTATGAAAAGACTATTTTGGTCCAAAATCCTTATGGTTTGGGGATGGTAAGATTATAAGTGCCTTTCCTTTTTTTTTGTTTTCTTACTTGTTTTATGATGTTTTGACATAAACATTTAATACTTGGCTAATAAACAGTGGAAAAAGGCTGACTTTAAATTCATGTAAAAGAATTCTCATCTTGGAAGTTTTTTCCTAAGCTTGATTTGCAGGCTTAGAAATTTTAAGGCTTTGGGGTGGGGGCGGGCATTAAAACTGGGGAAAGGGATGGGAGGGTAAGGTTGAAGAGGAACAGGAGAGGGGTAACTAACATAGGAATGTTGAAAAAGCTGTATGGAAATCTACTTTTTTATAAAGTTCATATGTGCATGTTGTTTTTTCATAAGAAAGAGTTTAGTTGGAATTTGTGAAGCTAATACTTCTTCCAGAAACCATAGACTATCAAATAAAAAGGTCCAGTGCCAAGTGTTGGGTACTTCCCCACGAGCTGTTTCCCAGAACAACACAAGTTACCGCAATGCTCTTGGTTATCCACCCGAACTCAATGGTAAGACCCAGTTGCTGAAGACACCCCACACCTTATCACAGGACATGGACACGTCATCGCTACTGACAAGAAAGCTTCCTCCCTCCTGGCTAGCTTTCATGGTACTGGAAGGAGCTGTGCAGGCTGCTGGGGGAAAACCATCAACAGCCTTACCCAGCTGGGAGCCTATAAGCTCTAACAGTGACCAGCAAGGCAGGAGACGCCACGGTGCAACAGCGTCACAGCAATAAACCCCTAACTAAGACACATGCCCAGTACTGTAAATCATGCCAAGAACACAACGTTGGAGTGTTCGCAGGTTCCAGATATCAATCTACTGATATTCTTTTGGAAAACAGACAATCTTCCCTCTACATTTGTGAACTCTATATCTAAATATCAGTGCCTTTTAGACCTCATCAGGGAAGTTTCTTTGTACAGTGAAAAACAGTTAATGCAGATACTCACAACTGGCCAAAGAACAGAGACTGTGTATGGAGTGTTCAGACATAAATGGGACACCTATATTATATCCCCTTCCTCAAGGTCCAAGGATGATTTTGGAAGAGAGGGTAGGAGGATTCTAAGAGCCAGAGGTCAGGAAGGACTGGGGTGAAACTGTGTCTTCTGGACATGACAGGGCCAATGTACTGATGAATTCATGGCAGCTGTGGTAGCCCGCCCAAGACCTGTACAAGACTAAGCCAGTCAACACTGCAGCAGAGAGGAGGGAGGGATTCATGAGGCCCCAGCTGAGGAGCCATTGACAAGCTGATAGGAAAGGAGAGTCAGTTTTCTTTAAGAGTGTGGTCACTGGCAGGTCAACACTGCTCTCATCAATGGCCCCCATCCATGAGTACATGGGAAGCACAAACTGGACTTGGTGGGTTATTTAGAAAAAAGAGGGAGACTTGAGCTGGGGTAGAGATGACGGATGGGAATGGATCCGGGAGGAGTATAGGGGAAAGAATGGGGAGGTCAATGTGATCAAAATACATTTTATGCATGTATGAAATTCTCAAAGTATATATATCTTTCTCTGTGTGTATATATATGTCTATATATATAGACACACACATATATAGACATATATAATGCCTATATATATATAATATATATATATATATATGTAAAGTTTAAGGCTATTACTACAGAGTAAAGATTCCAGTTATATACACAAAAACTTCAAAGAAAAACTATATTCAAGTATTAGAAACTCACTAACTCATGAAGGGAAGAGAGTTTAGTCAGGAAAGTGCTTTCTACACAAGCATGAGGCCTGGGCTGGACCCTCACATAAAGCCGGTTGTGGCGAAATGTACTTATAGTCTCAGTGCTGAGAGGGGAAGACAGGGGATCCCTGGGACTTGCTGGCCAGCAAGTCATCCCAATTTGTGAGTTCTGGGACAGTGGGGGACCCTGTTTCAAAGGAACTGCACAGCACTTATGGGTAACAGCACTGAGGACTGTTCCTCTGTCTTCACATGCATGTATCCACACACATCTTTGAGCCCCCATCCCTCCACACCCAGTAGGTACATGCCAGGTATGATGGTGCATGCCTATAATTCCAGCATTGAAGAAGCAGTGACAAGTTCATCTCTGGAGCTCACTGGCCAACCAGCTTAGCCCATTTGGCCAGCTCCAGACAAACGAGACCGTCTCAAAAAACCAAAAAGGATGGCTCCAGAAAAACAATGTCTGAGGTTGACCTCTGCTCTCCACATGCACACACATACACCCACATGAGCACACATCCACATGCATGTGTGCACACATGCACACACACACATAAAATCAATAGGTAATTCACAGAGATTCAAGAAACAAAAACGATAAGCACCTGTCTGTAGCACTGTCTAAATGCTGTGCAGGAGTTTTGTATATGGTCATTAATTTTTCCCAGTTTTCTCAAGTCGGCAGCCCACTGTAGAGCCAAAGCTACTAGGAATCAGGAGAATTAGGGCATTTGTCTGCAGGTGTCTGCCACAATGGCAGCAAGGCAGTGAGGACGTCAGGGCAGCATACATACTTTTCATCTGCCCCAGATTTCTCACCAGGGGAACAGCAGAGAAGGCTGTCATTCATTTAGTAAGTGTAACGTGAACTGCTCTACAACACAGCTGTTTCTCCAGCTGATAGCAAAAGCATACATACATTTATACCTTCATTGAGAAAAATGACAATTGTTTTATTGTCTGTAATAGAGAAAGAAGCTCACCAGCTCAGAATCCTCCAGGTGGTTTCCCAGGTCATTATTCAAAGTGGTCAAGTTTTCTGGTTTGTTCAGCTCAGAAGCAATATGTGTATAGTATTTCCCAACCGAGTCAGAAGCAGCACATTCTGACTGGGACTGACAGATCTGTCCAGGACTCACATCCGGAGGGGGATGACTACCGAGATAAAGGAAGCAGCGTTATTGTGGGTACATCTCAGTGTCAATATTCAGGTTGATGGTTCTGTCTGGTTTTGAGTGAGGTCCTCACTAGCTTTTACACTATGGGTTTACTCAATGTCTACTATATGCTAGTATTACCATTTATTTGTTTTCTGTGCAGGTTTAACTTTCAAATAAGCTCTCTAAGCTACATAAGGACAGTAAGACAAGCTAGACTTAAGTATATACACTTTCTACTCCGAGTTGTTATTCAAGATGGAAGCTAATGTTACCTGGGGTCTAATTTGGATTTCAACCCAGTAAGAAAAGGAGAAAGAAGAACAACATCTCATGCTTGTGGTCATTTACCTGTTGACTTAAATATTTATTTCCCAAAAGTGGAGACTGAACTTGGGGTTTTATTCATGCTAGACAAGTGCTCTGTTCTTATCTGCTACTCTGTAATTTTTTTTAATTTGAGAGAAGGTCTTGCAGATTGTTTAGGCTGCCTTTGACTCTTTCCTCCCTCAGTCTTCCAAGTACCTGGGATGAGAGGACTGCTTCCTGCGGTCACTCTGGATGAAAAAAACGGGCATGAAGGAAGTGGGGACAAGATGGGAGGAAGGAGGGAGAATGCAGGCAAGTGTGGCTGGACATAAACACACACAGCCACCAACAGTCAAGGAGTGGATGCATCTTTACCCTGCAGGCGCCTGTGCTTTCAAACGTTTCCCTTTTCTTGTGTCCTGGTCTCGCCGTTTGCAAATCCCATGTCCCCCCCTTGTAATTATAATCTCCCTGAGCATCACTACCTAAATGAATTTCTTTTCTTTCTGGTTAAATTGTATTGAGACACTTCTTTCTTCCTTCCTTCCTCCCATCTTTCTTTCTTTTTTTTTTTATTCTCAAGACAGGGTTTCTCTGTGAAGCAGCCTGACTGTCCTGGAACTCACTTTGTAGACCAGGCTGGCCTCAAACTCACAGAGATCTGCCTACCTCTGCCTCACACCAGTGCCCAGTGAGAAACTACTTTCTTAATTACTAAAAAATATGCCCAAGAGAGAAGCAAGGGTAACACTGGCTGTCTTGAGAGCTTACTAAATTTGTCAGTCACAACAGCAAGACCTCGAACCGCCATTGTTTACCAACCATTCTGAATCCACAGGCATTCCATTCTTAAAAAAAAAAACTGTCATTGCATGAGTTGGCTGTTTGAAACCTGGAACTTATGCAGGGACACTTGGCTCAGTCTGGGAGGAAGGGACTGGACCTGCCTGGACTGAGTCTACCAGGTTGATCACAGTCCTTGGGGGAGGATTTGCCCTGGAGGAGGTGGGAATGGGGGGTGGGCTGGGGGTAAGAGGAGGGGGTGGGAGGGGGGAGAATAGGGGAACCTGTGGCTGATATGTAGAACTGAATGGTATTATAAAATAAATAAAATAAAAAACAAAACAAAAACAAAAACCTGTACCTGGTCTACACAGAGAAACCCTGTCTCGAAAGAAAAACAAAAAACAAAAACCAAACACCCCCCCCCCCAAAAAAACCAAAAACAAAACCTGTATTTATTTTGTGTGTGTATGTGCATGTGTATGAGGGTGCCCTATCCCCTGGAGCTGTCCGGTACGGGTGCTGGGAACTGAGCCATGGCCCCAGTCACCAGATGTCACATTCTTAGAACATGTCCTGCTGCCGCTGCTGCCACCACCAGCTGCTCTGGACACTGCAGCTTGGGCAATACCTGCTCTCAAATTCCGGTTTGCTGGGTGTTTTCCGAGGAAGGTAAAACATGGTACGGGTGGGTTCTTCTTGGCTTCTGGGTGCTTCATGTTGACCATGCGCCTTCATGTTGCTCAGAGTCTGGGTCAAAGCTGCAGCCAGGGTTACATTTGGTTGCTCGGCTGCAGCTCTCTCACGGTCGTCCTCTCCACTCAAGCTGCTGTCACTGGAGCTGTCTCTCCTGGAGGGACACCTGCGCTGATCCCTGTGTCTGCCAGACACCTCGTTCTCCGCCACGCCGGGGCCTTGCTCCACTGAGAAGGCTGACGGCTGAGAAGAATCTTTACTGCTGCCTAGAAATGCTGGTGCTGGAGAGTGGAGCGGAGTCTGAAGGGACACACGGAAGGGCATCAGAGGGGGCAGCATGCATTGACTTTAGGAACCATCAGGGGTTATGAACCTGCTAAGGAGCAGCACTTCACACAAAAATATAAACTTTCTGATCATTACCATAATTTATGTTCTTCAAAGAAAACTATTGTAAAATGACAACTGCTAATACTGTGTGAGTGACATTGGTTCATTTACCACATTACTATTTTGTGTGTATAACTGTGCCAGTGTACAAGAGCCACAGTGCATGAGTAAAGGTCAGAGGACAACTTGTGACTGGATCTCTCTTTCCACCAAGGGAGGAGGTTCCAGGGACTGAACTCCAGTCCTTGGGCTTGGCAGCAAGTGCCCTACCTGCTGAGCCGTCTCACCAGACTCGTTTATATTTTATTTTCAAACTTCATTTATGTCCTTTTATTTTATTGTGTGTGTGTGTGTGTGTCTGTGTGTGTGTGTGTGTGTGTGTGTGTGTGTGTGTGTCTGTCTGTCTGTCTGTCTGTCTGTCTGTCTGTCTGTCTGAGGAGGACAGAAGGCATCAGGTTCCCTGGAGCTGGAGCTGAGGAGTGGTGGGTGAACTCTGCAAGGGTGGTCTGTGCTCTTTCTGGCCCCCTCAACATGCTTTCTTCCAATGCCACTTCTAATGAGTTTCATGAACAGCACTTTGCTGTTATGTTGTCCTCACAGGTCCCCCCTTGCCGCCCCCACCCCTGCTGCCCCTACCCCCTCCACCCCCACATGAGGGTGAGCGCTCCCGGCTCAAGCTCCTCTCCGTTCCAGACCAGAGGACACCACTGGGAGGAGAACTCCTTCAAGCTGAGGCCAGAGGCAGATTTTCTTGTAAACACCATCAGAATACATTTGTAGATCCTTAAATCACTGTGACACAGAAGAAATAAATACAGCCCCCTTTTCTAGATTCTGATTTTTTTAAGTGATAAAACAATTCTCATTGACTTTTTCCTGCTTTCCAGTACTGAGCTTTAGTCATCTCCACTCTAATCCTCTCTCACCGCCCTCCCGCTCTAGAACCCTGTCCTCAGCACATCCTCATTTTAGTTCTGCGCCATCTTTCTGTGTAGGACTCCTGGAGTTCAATTAGTTTCTTGCCCATGCAGGAGTGGGAAGTCACTCATGGGGCACCGACAACTTTTCAGCAGCTGGACACGCACCAAACAAGCATCAGCTGTCAACAGCCCCTCAGGGAGGGGTGGGGCCTCGTGCGCCCCTCCCACCTATGACTGACAGGTGGCTGGTCCAGTCTTGTGCAGGTAACCAGGGCTGCGGAGATTTCACAGTGCGATGGCCATGTCATGCCCAGAAGACATGTCCTTCGCTGCACGCCTCTGCAGCCGCGGCTCTCAACTTCTTCCCTCAGGGAGTACAGAGATGACCCATGCAGGGCCAAGCCCTCCACCTACGCAGTCTACCCGGGACACGTCACGGGCTTCTGCACGGATGGAGGGCACAGGATGAAGGTCCCCGAGGAAGCTGGGCATGGCATTAACCTCAGATTCTGCTTAACTCTCAACTTTATCCAGACCCAAATGGCAAGAGATGTTCTTTGTTTAGCTTAGGAACAGATGGGCACAAAACCTGTATAACTTATGCTTAGAAAACAAATTCCTGAAACTCAAGCTCCCTAGAAGTTCAGAATTAGAAGAGAGTGGAAAGTGAACGGATACACACAAGATGACGGCTCCTCGTTCAGCATTGAGGCGTGAAGCCCAGTACACCAAACCCAGAGGAAACAACTGCAGCCACCAGCACCTGCTGCTTAGCACACCACAGATTGATAATCCACAGCAACAGAAAGCAGCAACCAACTACCTTACCGGAAACGCAGTGTCAATTTCTGGCAGCACGCCGGGTGGGGGTCTGCAGAGGAGCAAGGACACTTCAGGAGCTGTTCCCCTGAGAGCAGATATGACTTCCTGGAGGCATGTGAGAAGAGATGGCAGAGGAAGAGAGGTAAGTTGGTAGGAAGTAGGACAGCTCACCCACTGGCCCATCGCAGATCACGGGAACACTGCTCCTGTCCCGCCGTCCTGGCTCACCTGCTGAGACAGCCCCTTCAATGAGGCTCCGTTCACTTTCAATATGACGTCTCCAACATCGATTTTTCCACTTTCTGCAGCAGGCTGTCCAGGGAAGAGCTTTTTAACCCTTACTATGCTGGCATTGATTTGTTCTGGTATAAGATTATCTTCTCGAGAAAAACTGAATCCTAGGCCCGAGCTATTCTTGAACAGTTTGACCTCAAATGTATTATCTAGGGAACAAAAATGAAAAGTTCAATGTTATCAAGTGTGTATATACAAACACACACTTTTATACGCACTTTTAAAGTAGCCTAATTCGGCATGCTTGTATCAGAACTTACCGCACTAGCACAGACTCTCTTCCTATCATTCGGAAATCTTTCTTAATTTCTGATCTGTGTATGTGTGTGTGTGTGTGTGTGTAGTGTGTGTGTGAGTTTATGTACGAAAGCCAGAGGATGATGTCAAGTATTCTTCTCCGTCACTCTCCACCTGTTGTTTTATTTTTTGAGACAGGGTCTTTCACAGACCCTGGAACTCACTGATTTATTTCTGGCCACCAATTATTATTAGATGTGTCCACCATGCCCAGTTTCCACACGGGTGCTGGAGATCCAAAATTAGAATTTTATGCTTGCTTTGCAGACACTGATGGACTAAGCCATCTCCCCAAACCCATTCATAAAACTTGAGTTAACTGCTTGAATGGGAAGTGTTTGTAAAGCAAGGTTCTCTAAGTGGGGTCGTATGTTTCAATGTCATGTTTTTAATAGGAGTATATTAAGTTAAAAAAGGGGGAGGGAAGAACTACAAGGAAATTCAGGTATGAAGGGAGACGTTGAAAATACCAAAACAAGCCGGGCGGTGGTGGTGCACGCCTTTAATCCCAGCACTCGGGAGGCAGAGCCAGGTGGATCTCTGTGAGTTCTAGGCCAGCCTGGTCTACAGAGCGAGATCCAGGACAGGAACCAAAACCACACAAAGAAACCCTGTCTTAAAAAAAAAAAAAAAAAAGGAAAAAGAATACCAAAACAAACGCTAGCTTAAAATGAGGGAAAAGAAGTTGATACTGCAATGTTTTGGTAAGGCCTACTTTAATCCAGAGAAGTTATAATGACATTCCAACAAAATTCTCACAAATAAAATACATTAATAGAATTAAAGACAGAAAAAAACTTACAGAAAGAAAGAAAGAAGTAAAGATGAATATGATTAAGAAGGTACATTATCTTTAAATTCATAGTCAAAACACCAATATAGGATGGTCTATGTTTTGGACTGATGTATGGTTACTAAGATTTGTGAAGCAAATAGAAATTTAAAGTAAGAGAAGAACATTTACTGTATACCACCGTCATCAATTCTAAGTAAGAGCATGTAAACCGCTGAAGGGATCTCAACGCAGAGGGCACAGCAGCCTCATGAGAACTCATACAGCATCAGCCTTCATTTCTTGGCTTGTTACAATTATTATTATGACTATATAGGCTGACACATTGTTAAGAAGTCCAGCATTTGGGAAATACTAAATAGCTTCCTGTACAGGGTAACCCTAAATAGAAATATAAAAAATTTAGTTAGATGTGATGGCAAATGCCTGTAGTCCCAGCACTTGGGACACTGAGGACAACACAGGTATACAGTGAGTAATAAGGTCAGCTTGAGTTATGAGTAAAATCTTCTCACCAATCCAAGACCTCGAACAAACAAACAAACAAACAAACAAACAAACATAAATTTAAGGTGCAGGTGGTTTTGGAGTCATTCTCTACAATTATCTATACTTGGTTTTTCCTTACCAAATTTCATTTAAGATTTAGATGTACTGTAGCTGTTGATATTCTGCGATTTGAGGTGAGAGGGCTGTTCTGTTATTAATGAGACATGAATCATGTATCCACAAACTACATGAACATTTCAGAATAAATTATTGCTGTGTGTAAAAAAAATGGACAGCTATTTAAGGCATTATTAAATGGCCACATTCAGACACAACTTCATTTACCTAAATCTTCAAGTGTGTTTTGGTCAGTCTGGGGCTGCCTGAGTTTTATAATTGACAAGAACAGAGATCCTGAGGTATGAATTCTAACCCAACATGTAAACACTGTAGTTTGAATGGGCTGGAATTTTAGTGACGTGACCTGAACCGCAAGGCCTGACCTTCAGTAACAAAGCTGTAGTCTTTGACGTGAGCTGTTTTCTTCACTGTCTTTTCTGGGGTTCGACCGTGGCCATCCTGGTCTGGAGGGGTGCACTGTGAGCTTGCAGGGTCGTGTTCTTTGGACGTCGGGGACTGCCCCTTTTCTAACAACAGATGAACCACCTGAGAAAATGGAATAGCATGCCATTAACTGAGAAGACCAGTAAACTGGATTAAGTTTTAGGACTTTGTACAGTTGGAGGTGCAATAAAGTAACTAGTTGCTTGGTACACCAAAATATAGGCACAGAGGAAAAACAATGTAGGAACAGAAGGAAGGAACTGAAAGTCTCAAAGTTTTTATTATTTTCTGCATGAGAATAAGAGAAAAAGCTATTATAAAATATGTCAAATACACACATATGTTACACATACACATTTATTTTATATAGGTATATAAAATAAATAATACGTGTGTGTATTATAGATAATTTGGGTACTGGGGGAAAGTCACCAGGCAGCAATTATAAAGACCATTACAAATAATTTACTCAAGTCCTGATTGAAGTTATTTGAGCACAATGAATTTAACTTTTGGGTTGAAAAATGGTAGGAGTGAAAAATCATTAGACATGTGTAGATGTGGAGAGTCTCATCAGACTACGCGCTTCCTGACCTGAAGGAAAACAGCAGCATGAACCTCACAGAGTGCCGAGTGGCTGTACTGCTTGCCTTGGTTGACAGGTCTCAAGGAGATTCATATTATCTCCACACTGCTGTGTTCTAAGTTATCTTAGCAGGTTGACAAAATGACCTCTTACCTGCCCTGTGTTTCTTAGTGTTTCCACAGCTTGTTTGTGGGTAGCTCCTTCCAGACTGACTCCATTAACAGCGAGCACACGATCACCTGTTAAGTTACGAAGTTGTTTTAAAAGAAGTCAATCATTAAAAAAAAAAAAAAAAATTCTATAGGGTTTTTAATACCCAGTGTTGTTTTTTTTCATATTTGTTTGGGGAGAGATTCAGACAAATTTAGGAGAGAATTAAATATTGTTGAAGCATTCCTGATAATCCAAAGGAATGTGAGAAGGAAATGCTATTAACCTCAGTGGCTGTAACAGTGAGACCCTATCTTGTACAAACTGGGTACAATGTGTGGACCCCTGCCTCAGCTTCCCAAGTGCAGGAATGTAGGTGTATGCACTACCTGCCTGACTAGAATTATATGACTTTATAGCAATGGCCTTTGATCATGAAGACAGAGAAGCTGAACTATAAACACACAGACTAGAAGTGTTGTGTAATAATCCTCTTGTACATGGTAAAGATTTACCACTTGAATTGGTTTAATAAAACACGGATTGGCCAGTGGCCAGGCAGGAAGTATAGGCAGGGCGACCAAACTAAGGATGATGGGAATGAAAAGGGCGGGTTCAGAAATTGCCAGCCAGATGCAGAGGGAGCAGGAGATGAACACACCATGCTAATAAAGGTACTGCCACGTGGCAAAGCATAGATAGAAATATGGGTTAATTTAAGTTGTAAGAGGTAGTTAGTAACAAGTATCGGCTAAACATTTATAATTCATATAAGCTTCTGAGTCTGTTATTTGAGACCTCCCGTAACAGGTCAGGACAGGACAGGACAGGACAGGACAGAGAAGCACATTTCCAGCAAGGTCTCAGAGACCTAGTCAGTGATGTCACACTTATGCCAGTCACTCCTCCTCTGTCCAGCAGTGCTATGCTGCTCAACAGGAAGAAGCCACTTTCTCCTGCTAAGGAGTAAGCGGGAAGGTGAGTTACTGCTGTGTCAACAAGTAGTTTTCTAAAACGTATCTTTAAAGCGGAGCATGTTCTGACATGACTCTAAGGTTCTTACCAACTCTGCAATGTCTTTCATTCTTGCTGGTTTTGAGAGACAGGGTCTCTCTATGTAGCCCTGGATGACCTGAAACTCACTATGCAGGGGCCTGAAAACTCAAGAGATCTGCCTGCTCCTGCCTCTCCAGTGCTGGGATTCAAAGTGTGCACCACCACACTTGGACTTAATTTCTTATTTATTGTGTATTTGTGCTGTAATTTCTGCATCCATATAGACATCATACCTTTGTGAATTCTGCCATCCGACTCTGCTGCTCCTTTGGGAATAATGGCTTTCACGTAAATACCACCATGTCGGACGCTGGTATTCACACCTCCCTAAACAGAAAAGACAAAGTAGCACGTGTTAGCATGAAAACATTTGCGTGCTTTCACATCTGAGCACTAGGGAGGGTTGGATCCATCAGAGAGAGCTGTGACACAGTGTCAGCACGTTCACTTATTTAAACACCCAGCAACACTGTTAGCTAAGCTCCCCAAAGAGCAGAGTTTGTTTGTTCTTTCTCTCCCTCCCTCCCTCCGTCTCTCTACTGAATTCAGGAAGAGTCAATAAGCTGCATCTTGACTACATAAGGACCCGTCCCTCCTTTCTATGTCATGCATTATGAGCAAGCAGAAAGCAAAGTCCATCTATGCAAGATCAGTGTTAAGAACATAATTACTGAGAAATACCCAGCATATATACACGTTGGAGTGCATCTGCGAATCTGAGAGCAAATTCCTTGAGTTAAGGAAAAAGCTGCTTTTATCTGAAGAGGCTGGGAGTGGCACACACCTTTAATCCCAGCACTCTGGTGACAGAGGCAAGCACATTTCTGTGGGTTCTAGGCCAGCATGGTCTATGCAGTGAGTTACAGGCCAGGCAGGGCCACATGGATAAGACTCTGTCTCTAAAAACAAAACAAAAGAAAAAAAAAACCCCAAAAATCTAAAGCAAACAAACACAGACTTTGGTAGAAAAGAGTGTGCTTGTGTGTGTGCCTGTGTATGCAAGTGCACATTTATGTGTGTGCATGTGCACATTAGGCTAGAGGTCAATGTTGAGGGTTTCTCTCTGGACATGGCAGCCACTGCCTGGGCTAGATTAATCAGTAAGACTTGGAGTCCAACTCTCTCCCTGAGTGCTGGGCTAAAGGTGAAAGCTGTGTATCCAGTTTTTATTGTTTGGGTTCCTATTTTTATGTTTTATTTTTTTTTGAGAGGGTTTCTCTGTGTAACTATGGCTGTCCTGGAACTCATTCTGTAGATGAGGTTGGCCTCTAACTCACAGAGATCCGCCTTACTCTGCTTCCTCAGTGCTGGGATTAAAGATGTGTACCACTACCACTTGGCTAAATAATTTTTGTTGTAGTTCTGTGCTTAATGTGTATAAGTGTTCTGGCTCATGTATGTTGCCCAAGGAGGCCAGAAAAGGGTGTTGGATCTTCTGGAACTGGAGTTAGAGATGGTTGTGAGCTACCGTGTAGGTGCTGAGAAATCAACCTGGGTTCTCTGGAAGAAAAGACAGTGGTTTTAACCACTGAGCCACCTCTTCAGATCCTCTGAGAAGCTTTTTAAAAATGCTATAAGAAAGGTCTAGTAGTTCTGTTTTCTACCTTTCAAGAAAATGTATTATTCTTTCATCATAAAACAATGATGCAATTATAATGAAACTAGGAGTTAGAGGGAAGCACTATAGTCTAAATGAAGAAAGTAGGCTTTTGATCTCAGTATGTTACAGTGCTGATTCACTGCTATTAACTGCTTTATGTCACTCTTAGAATGTGATAAATGATAAAGCTGCAATTTAGGAATAACAAAATTCTAAAATAATAAAATAATAGTTTATGTACATATCTCCATTAACTTAAAGATACATGCACAGTTCTGAAACCTCTCATTTTAAGGTTTTAAATGTGTTAATAAAGGTTTTAAACAAGGTAGTAAATACTTTGGAGAGAATTAACACATAAATACCATGGTCTTTAGTTATTCATGGAATAGGTGAAAGAGACAGCAACACTCATGCAGAAACTGTCAGGTGCATAGGAAACCTAAATAGACATTAATGTCATATTCTGCACTGTATGGAGAAGAGGCAATTGTCAAATGTTTTAAACCACAAGAAAAAAGAGCAGTGTACAAACTAAAAAAAAAGTTTTAAGACAGTCAATTTTTAGATTTTGGAAACATTTGACAAATGTCCCATCTGCAGCAAAATAATTCAACCAGCAAGTTGGGCTACAACCAACTTCTGCAAGTGAAGAAGAGAAAACTCAAAAACCTTGGCAAACAGTACCGTGACACTTATTCCCAAGCTGTTAGCATTTTTAGCCAGTTCAACCTCAAAGATATCTCCAGGCTCAGGAGGTGATGCAGAGAGCGTTTTAAAGCTCATTTTGTTGGATGTATTCACTGAGGAGGAAGGTTCCTTAACAAAGAAAACAAACAAACAAAAGAAGATTTCTAAGTAGAGACAAAATGAACTGTCAGTGGAAACAAGTATTTTGGGGGGAAATTTTTCTTTTAAAGCAAGGAATTAAGAAATAGAAGATATCAAAAGCACAGAGGCCAGGCGACCTTCCAGACACTCTCAGTTCAGGGCACTCTTACTTTATGGTCTAGGTAACTCACATCAGAAAGTGAAGCTAGCCAAGGCAGAAGGAATCCTAGAACCACGTAGAACTTGGCTTTGGAAGAAGAGCCTGTGGCCCTGCTTCTTCTGCCCCTGAGTTTGTGAAGTACGCCCACGCTCTCTAAAAGTCAGTGTACACCAGGGAAGCAGACTGAACCTAACTTACTTTGCTCATGTTTGCAAATTCAGTCTAAACAAGGGAGCAATAGCTAAGCCTTATTTCTGAAGGCAGAGGCTCTTGTGAGGAATACTGTGTTTTTAGTGAACAAAAGCTATGACTTGTCCTCTAAACCTTCTTGCCAATGTGAACTTATTTTCCTCTCATTTCTGGAATGAGCTGTTTCCATTGCTGTTGCTGTCACCCCAGAACTTAGGTTCTCCATGGCAACTCCAACTGCCCATCGCACGAACTATTCCTACGCAGTTGTTCAGAGTTCTCTTACTGACACGTGTTAAATATGTGAGTGATGACTAACGTACAGGAGATGAGTCCTAATCTAGCAGAGCTATTTCAGGGTTAGTGTTCAAAGCCTCTGCTTCTCTGCAAGTTGGCTTTGAATGCAGCAGCAGTTAGCAGCTGAAGATCCAAGCTGCTCTTCCTCGCCAGTCATGCCAACACTGAGTAGGTTATACTCCTCTCTGATAGATGTATCACTTTTCTGCAGTTAAGTCAACAGATGCCCACCCCCAAGCATTAAAATTAAATCATGCCTTTTGCGGTGCTGGATGATCCTGGTTGCTGGCATAAGTGGCGTCATCTATGTCGGAATCACCGTGATCAGAGAGCTCAGTTGTGTCAGAAATGCCTGGCCTTTTAGCTTTGCTTCGGTTACTGCCAGAGAAAATCTTCTCCATGACCTTGGACGTTACAGATGGAGATGGGCTGCCATGCTGTGACTCCTGCCAGCCTCGGTCACCTAAGTGGCCAGCAAAGAAGCCGTTGACATGGCTCTGGGACAAGCTGGCGCTTTCGGTCCTGGAGTCCTGGGAGCTGAGGCTTCCTTCCCGCAGGCCCCCAGAGAGCCCAAAAGGACTCTCTGTGACATGCCTGAGGGTGCCCCGTGGCCAGGGCTGGGCCTCTGAAGGGTCCGTAGCACTGTCCTGCATGTAGGAAGGCTTCTTCATGTAGTTTTTCATCCCATTGGCAAAATGCACGGGAGTAGAAGGCACTAAAAGTTAAGATCCAACAAAGAGAACAACATCAAGTGATACACGTGCCTACATATACACTCACACACACACATACATATACACACACACACACACACACACACACGTGCCTACATATACACACTCACACACAGACACATACACACATGCCTACATATACACACTCACACACAGGCATACACATAAGCACAAATTCACATGTACATACATGCACATATACACACACACACTCACACACAGACATACACATAAGCACAAATTCACATGTACATACATGCACATACACATGCACACACAAACACATGGCTCGTGCACGCGTACACACAAACACACATTTTTTTGAGACAGGGTTTTTCTCACTATGTCTTCTACAAGGCCTGGAATTTGCTATGTTGGCCAGGCTGGTGCCAAATTCATGAGATTTGCCTGCTTCTGCCTACTGAGTGTTGGGATTAAAAGAACGACCCCATTGCCCAAAAAATTAAATGAATTATAATATTTCTCAAAATATAAAATATAATGCCACATTTGAAGAAGGATTCTATAAGCAATCGATATGAGACCATGACTGGAAAAAGCACGGGGACAAATAGCCAAACTAGTGGAAATTCAGGAACTGTGAACCAATAGCAGAGGAGCCCCCATGGAACTTGACCAGGCCCCCTGGATAAGTGAGACAGCTGATTAGCTTGAACTGTTTGGGAGGCCCCCAGGCAGTGAAACGCGGACCTGTCCTCAGTGCATGAGCTGGCTTTTTGGAGCCTAGTGCCTATAGTGAGACACTTTGCACAGCCTTGGTGTAGGGAGGAGGGGACTGGACCTGCCTCAGCTGATTGTGCTAGGCTCTGCTGACTCTCCATGGGAGACCTTGCCTTGGAGGAGGTGGGAATGGGGGGGGGTGAGTTGAGGGGGGAGAAGGGAAGACAGGAGATCTGTGGTTGATATGTAGAATGAGAATCTACATAGAATCTAATAGAGAATCTATTAATAAAAAAGAAGGTGGATACATTCATGAAGCTCAAAATTGGTAAACTTTCTGCAAATCAAATTGGCAGCACCTGCCAAAACCCGAATGTACATACAAATCCAAGATACAGAATCATAGACTAGTGTAAAAATATTTTCTTTTTAGTAAAAATGCATGCACGTGTTTTCTACCTTTATCATACATACATAAACCACACAAATACCAACAACATAGAAGACAACATATACATCAGACAGTTTCCTTCAGGAAATGGAGCCCATTTTTAGTACATATTTTGTGATTTACATAAATTACCTTCATTTTAATACGTCCCTTTAAAGAAATTGGCAGAGAGAGGGGGAGGGAACTGGTATAATATGAATGTGTCCTTCAAGTGCCCGTGCTGGAGACTGAGGCAGCTTACCACGGACGTGCTAAGACCACACGGCTCTCCACCCCCACGAGTGGGTCACTGCCAGTGTGAGCACGGTTTCACTGCGACTCCAGCATCTCTTGTGCACAACCTCTGCCATGAGACGAAGAAGTCCCCCCTGCCCCCACCCCCACGCCACAGTGCCTTGACCTTCGGTTTTCAGTGTCCACAGCTGTGGGAAACTGATCTGTGCCCAGCATGGTGGAACATGCCTGTAATGGCAGACTCGGGGAGTGAGGGCAGGAGGACGCTGCTTCAGGACAGCCTGTGTTACATAGTGAACTCCAGGCAAAGCTGGCTACAAAGTGAGACTACTGTCCCCACAGAAGTAACCGGGTGAGGGTATTCAGTTACAGTGGCATCCAACAGAACAAGACAAGACCTCTCTCTTTGGTGACATAATTGAGAAAGAAAGTCTGGAGTACATACTGGTAAAGCTTGTAGTTTGTCTGACTTTTGTATTTTTCTAAGTGACACTCGTGATGTTACAGAGTAGTGACACATCATGATAAAATTAATCTAGCTTTCTGAAGAACAAGTTCACATGATCACATTTCAATCTGGATCAAACAAACAAACAAACAAACAGCCCTTCTCTGGTCTCCGTCTCAGGTAACGCTCTCCCATCAAGGGCCGTTCTGTCAACTCTACCTCTCCCAGGAGTCATGCCCACACATGTGTCTACTGGGGGCTTCACACTCATCTCCCCCACAAAAGTTTAATTTCCACAAAGGCAGTGGTTTTCTATCTTGTACATTCTACACACTCAATAGATCCCTGAACAGATGAACATCTTTTCTATAGAACATTGGTTAAAAGAAATTAAATTCCTTTGGAGGAGGAGTTAAGGGAGTGCATTTACTCTGAATTCACCCCCACCCCCATCGAAAGCAATGGAGAAAAATGGGGCTCAACATTCTGCTATAAAAAGAGAGCCCTTGGCTGCTTGGAACTCAGAGGTTTGCACTAATTTCCAACTGCAGCCTCCACCCTTCATGTGAGATGAGGAAGTTTAAGAGCGGAAGGCTCTCGCATGTGCTGGAGTGTGCAGTGTTTATAGTAAACAAATGCTTCTATAATATTTAAAATGTGCATGACATACTTCATACATATGCATATACACGCGTATAATAGTTACTAAATACAAGAACAAACAAACCATAGCCTGAATTAAGAAACTACGCCACAGCACAGTGCAAGAAAGTTTGGTTTTGCATTTTTTAGCCCAGCATCTAAATCATACCTAAAATTTACCTCAACTATTTTCAATGCTTTTTTTCTTTCATTCCAGTTTGCTGGGATGGGGTCTTGCAATGCAGCTCTGGCTGACCTGGCAACTATTACATCGTCTAAGCTGGCCTCAGGCCTGTGGCAACCCTCCTGCCTCATCTTCACAGGCACAGGCCACAATACCAGGTCTAATTTTAAGTTCTTTAACATATTCTCAAGGTATCTCAAGAACGAAAGTAACTTACATAATACCTAGCATTTTGATATTTTTGAAAAATATAATTAATAATGACAGTCAAATTGGACACTTAATTCTTGATATGTACCTGAAATGTACTAGTCACATAACTTAATTTTCACCATTTGCTCTCTGTCAAGGTGGGAGTCTGGGTAGTGGAGACTGTGGGCTGGTGCCTGGCTAGTACCTAAGGCACTGTTTTCCACAGACAGACAGACAGACAGACAGACAGACAGACAGACAGACACACACACACACACACACACACGAGTTTCCGGATGTGCTGTCCTCACCAATACTCTTAGTAATTCTGTGTGATGAATGCAGGATGAGGGAGGCAGGATGAGGGAGACTACCGTCTATTCTTTAAGTGGCAACAAGAATATGAGTTTTGGTTTTACTGAATTTCTCATTTGTCATTTTCCTTTTCATAAAGTTGATGTTTGGACAGGACTTTACAGTAAGTATTACACAACTACATCAATCACATAATGACAGCAAGGCCTAATTCTCACGGGACTAAGAGAGGGCACACAAGATATGGAAAAACAAATGACATCAATTTTACATGACTAAATTCATTTTTGTTCAAACTACTGAAGACAAGTGATACAGAAAAAAAAAAATCTCAAAATGAAGAAGTTATACTGATGCATGAATTGCAGCACCAGGACGAGCATGTGTGGAACTTCCAGAAGGGAAATAGACAGCTGACATGCATCTCCCCGGCCAGGCACTGAGGTATTTACGATGGGACTTCCACAGCATTACCTTTGGATGGCTTTTCTTTTGGCTGGGAGATGACAAGTGTCACATCTTCAGGTGCATTCTGCAGAATGTCAACTGCAGCATGGTGACTAACCCCCTCCAGACTCACACTGTTCACAGATATCAAGCGGTCTCCTGAAAAATGCACAATCCAGTATTTTCAACAACAATGCAAGACTCATGGTAAATCTTAGAAATTCCACCCTTTCTCATCATTTTTGCTTTGCTTAAATTTACTTTTGCCCTCTGTCCAAATTCATGTATTAGAAAGCACACCGGAAATCATCAAAATGTGAAGTACCAGGCTTTAAGCATCCATCCAAGTCAGCTGGTCCTCCAGGGGTAACTGAACTGATAAATACACCTAGGTCCAGTCTTCCCATCTTTTCCCCACCAATAATTTGAAATCCTGTAAAACAGAACATTTAGGTTTTTTGTTTTTTTTTTTATGATATTGGTTCTTTTAATGACTCATGATTTGTTCACTCGAAACAAATACAGATGCTAAGATAAAATGATTAAGTCTGTGAGAAGTATTCACTGCACATTGTCTTTGGCATTTGGTGACCAGGGTGTGGAGCAGGGTGGACGGAAGTGGGCAGTCAGCATCTCGGTCAGAGGTGTGG